TTATCAATTTCATAGTTTTAGGTTATTCTTGACTTTTCTACCTTTCCCTCTTTTTTCTGAGCAAGTTGCAATTTAAACTAATCGAAAATATCAAAATTCCTTACAGTTCAAGTGACCTTTGATATTTAAAAAATTATCAAAATTACCAATTTCATAGTTTTAGGTTATTCTTGACTTTTCTACCTTTTCCTCTTTTTACTAAGGTAGTAACAATTTAAACTAATCGAAAATATCAAAATTCCTTACAGTTCGAGTGACCTTTGATATTTAAAAAATTATCAAAATTATCAATTTCATAGTTTTAGGTTATTCTTGACTTTTCTACCTCCCTCTCTTTTTTCTAAGCTAGTGACAATTTAAACTAATACTAAAAAAATAACTAAAACTACTAAAACTATGAAATTGATAATTTTGATAATTTTTTAAATATCAAAGGTCACTCGAACTGTAAGGAATTTTGATATTTTAGATTAGTTTAAATTATCACTAGCTCAGTAAAAAGAAGGAAAGGTAGAAAACTCAAGAATAACCTAAAACTATGAAATTGGTAATTTTGATAATTTTTTAAATATCAAAGGTCACTTGAACTGTAAGGAATTTTGATATTTTCGATTAGTTTAAATTGTCACTAGCTTAGAAAAAAGAGGGGAAGGTAGAAAAGTCAAGAATAACCTAAAACTATGAAATTGATAATTTTGATAATTTTTTTAATATCAAAGGTCACTTGAACTAGAAGGAATTTTGATATTTTCGATTAGTTTAAATTGTCACTAGCTTAGAAAAAAGAGGGAAAGGTAGAAAAGTCAAGAATAACCTAAAACTATGAAATTGATAATTTTGATAATTTTTTTAATATCAAAGGTCACTTGATCTAGAAAGAATTTTGATATTTTCGATTAGTTTAAATTGTCACTAGCTTAGAAAAAAGAGGGAAAGGTAGAAAAGTCAAGAATAACCTAAAACTATGAAATTGATAATTTTGACAATTTTTTAAATTTTAAAGATCATTTGAACTGTCAGAAATTTTTATATTTTCGATTAGTTTAAATTGTCACTATCTCAGAAAAAAAAGAAAAAGGTAGAAAAGTCAAGAATAACCTAAAACTATGAAATTGATAATCGATTTATTACTATTTTTGGTAATGAAAAAAATACTTTTTTCAACTTTGGCAAAAACATGGGCAAAGTATGGGAGAAGGAAAAAACGATAGTTTCCTATTTTTGGAAAAAAAAAGTTAGGAATTTCAACTTTGGCAAAAACATGGGCAAAGTATGGGAGAAAGAAAAATCGATTTATTCCTATTTTTGGTAATAAAAAAATTACTATTTTCAACTTTGGCAAATACATGGGCAAAGTATGGGAGAAAAAAATCGATTTATTCCTATTTTTGGTAATGAAAAAAATACTATTTTCAACTTTAGCAAAACCATGGGCAAAGTATGGGAGAAAAAAAATCGATTTTATCCTATTTTTGGTAATGAAAAAATTACTATTTTCAACGTTGGCAAAAACATGGGCAAAGTATGGGAGAAAGCAAAATCGATTTTTTCCTTTTTTTGGTAATGAAAAAATTACTATTTTCAACTTTGGCAAATACATGGGCAAAGTATGGGTGAAAAAAATCGATTTATTCCTATTTTTGGTAATGAAAAAAATACTATTATCAACTTTGGCAAAAGCATGGGCAAAGTATGGGAGAAAAAAAATCGATTTTTCAACATTTTTGGTAATGAAAAAATACTATTTTCAAATTTGGCAAAAACATGGGCAAAGTATAAGAGAAAAAATATCGATTTTTTCCTATTTTTAGTAACGATAAAATTACTATTTTCAACTTTGGCAAAAACATGGGCAAAGTATGGGAGAAAGCAAAATCGATTTTTTCCTTTTTTTGGTAATGAAAAAATTACTATTTTCAACTTTGGCAAATACATGGGCAAAGTATGGGTGAAAAAAATCGATTTATTCCTATTTTTGGTAATGAAAAAAATACTATTATCAACTTTGGCAAAAGCATGGGCAAAGTATGGGAGAAAAAAAATCGATTTTTCAACATTTTTGGTAATGAAAAAATACTATTTTCAAATTTGGCAAAAACATGGGCAAAGTATAAGAGAAAAAATATCGATTTTTTCCTATTTTTAGTAACGATAAAATTACTATTTTCAACTTTGGCAAAAACATGGGCAAAGTATGGGAGAAAGAAAAATCGATTTATTCCTATTTTTGGTAATGAAAAAATTACTATTTTCAACTTTGGCAAAAACATGGGCAAAGTATGGGAGAAAAAAATCGATTTATTCCTATTTTTGATAATGAAAAAATTACTATTTTCAAATTTAGCAAAAACATGGGCAAAGTATGGTAGAAAAAAAATCGATTTTTTTCCTGCTATACTTTGCCCATATTTTAACCAAAGTTGAATTTGCTAATTTTTTCATTACCACGCGGGTAGAAATTTGAATTTACTGTCTCTTTCACTCTAATTGATTTTCTTTCTTACACTGAGACAACGAAGTAGTCAAGGCAACTAATAAAATGGATAGAAATACCATTTTGGTTAGTAAACTATACTGCGGCTAATTCGATGGTTAGAGATACAATTTATTTTTGTAGAAAGTTAGGTTGTCGCAGTTAGCATTTTATTAGTGAGGGAAACTTATTTCTGTTATGCCAATAACTAATAAATATTGTAACAGACATCTTCTAGTTAGTTAACCTTACTAATAAAAAAGGAAATAATACAATAATTGAAATAGTTAAAAGTCAATTACGTATTAAATAATATTTGCATTTAGAAAAAATAGTTTTATTATAAGATAAATATATCCTACTTTTTAAAAAGTCGGATGTTAAACCACTTAAACCTGCACTAAGAGAAATTTTTGCATTAAATGGTATTGAAATATTTAATGCGCTTCGAATGCCCTCTGTCGTGAGTTTTTAGTATGAAAACATACTGAATTCGCTCAGAAATCATACTAAAAAAGCGTTATTCGTTTAGCTCCGAACCATCATTTTTCATGATCTTTGGACTGCGCAGAAGGTTCTCGGGAAAGAGTTTAGGTGACTTGATCTCAGAGAAAAAGGCGATATGAAAGAACGGGTTCTTTTCAAAAATTGCTCAAATCGGTGAAACTGCTTTGTTTGCTTTTCTCACACAATTATTGGACGCACCGCAAATATTGAAAAAAATAAACTTTCAATAAAAGTTAATAAATAAACTCGTTACTCGGGGGTTTCCGTGTTCGCTGATTAACGAATCCCATGTTAGTTTTTTAAAATTCAAAATGACGGATCTAATATGGCCGACGATAAAGTTAATAATTAATCTATTTCGCTTAAAGCTAGTTACTCGGGAGTTTTCGCGTTCGCTGATAACAAATCTGATGTTAGTTTTTCAAAATTCAAAATGGCGGATCCAATATTTTTTTAAAAGATTTTCTGGTCACTTTTTCGTACGAATTTTATGTGAAATGATAAAGAATTTTTATTTAACATTTGAAAAATTCCGTTAGGAATTGCGAATGGAATTCCGTAAGTAATATCAGCTAAAAATATTTTTGGATAAATTGTCGTCCACTTTTCGGTTCCAATTCCTCAAGTACTTCGTGCGTATTACTAGTGGATTTTTATTCAAATTTTTGCAAAAATTCCGCTTGGATTTGCAAATGGAAATCCGTACGTAATATCTGCTGAAAAATTTTTTTGAACAATTTCCGCTCTCTTTTCCGTACGAATTCTGCTAGAAATTTGTGTGCATTACCAATGAATTTAATTCAAAATTAAAAATTTGTAATAATACATACGAAGTACTAACGGAATTCATACGGAAAAGAGAGGGGAAATTGTTCTAAAAAAATTTTCAGTAGATGTTACATCCGTATTTCCATTCGCAATTCCAAAAGAAATTTTTAAATAATTTTGTATAAAAATCCGCTAGTAATAAACACGAATTACTAGCGGAATTCGTACCGAAAAGTGAGCGGAAATTTTATAAAAAAATTAGAGGTGTGCAAAAAGCTCGAAGCTCGATCGAGTATTTTCGAGCATTTCACTATTCATGCCGAGCTCAGGCCGAGTCGAGTTTCATAAAAAGCTGGGAATTAATCACAAAACCAAAGAATTCATTTCAACTTTCGTCTCCATGGACAAATTTATAGCGGATAATTGAAAAAAGGCTTTTAAATATCATTTTATTGGTCCAAAAAATTTAGTTTACATTAACAATTCTTGCAAATCTCAAAAGTGATTCGTCTTAAGAGATGAAATCGAGCAGAACATTCATCAAAAAGTAAAAGAACTCATTTCAACTTACGACTCCTGGGACACTTAGATTTATAGCGAAAAATTGATAAAAATGACATTTAAAAATCATTTTCTTGGTCCCAAAAATTTATTTTTTATTAAAAAATCTTGCAAATGTCAAAAGTGATTCGTCTTGAGCGATGAAATCGAGCAGGCAAAAAATCAGCAAGCAAAAGAACTCATTTTAAATTACGTCTCCTAAGAAACTTACATTTTAAGTGAAAAATTGAAAAAAAGACAAATAAAAATCATTTTTTTGGTCTCAAAAATTTATTATTTATTAAAAACTCTTGCAAATCTCAAAAGTGACTCGACTTGAAAGATGATATCGAGCAAGCAAATAATTACCAAGCCAAAGAACTCACTTCAACTTACGTCTCCTGGAACACTTACATTTATAGCGAAAAATTGAAAAAAAACAAATAAAAATAATTTTTTTGGTCCCAAAAATTTATTTTTTATTAAAAAATCTTGCAAATGTCAAAAGTGATTCGTCTTGAAAGATGAAATCGAGCAGGCAAATAATCAGCAAGCCAAAGAACTTATTTTAAATTACGTCTCCTGGGAAACTTACATTTTAAGTGAAAAATTGAAAAAAAAGACAAATAAAAATCATTTTTTTGGTCCCACAAATTTATTTTTCATTAAAAACTCTTGCAAATATCAAAAGTGATTCGTCTTGAGAGATAAAATCGAGCAGGCAAATAATCAGCAAGCCAAAGAACTCACCAGTTATATAACACATTCGGTTCCGTTTTGGTGCGGGGAAATGTTTCTCCCATCAATGATGGCATTCTCCTCTGTTTTAAAAAAATGCAATCAATAAGAAGAAATGCTTATGAAATTTGAAAATCTGACAGGATGAAGGTAAGATCCGATGAGAGAAATTAAAAATTTAAACACTTAAGAAAAAATTATGAAAAGCTTACTTTGCAGAAGAGACAATTCGCCATCATTTCGTTCCAATTGTTCTAGGGTACGTGCTTCGCCCAGGATTGAAAACCAAGGACAACGCATTTTTCGCATTTGACAACCTCGCGTGCCACGAATAGGTAGTGCTTCATTTTTGGAAAATTGTTGATGCAATGATGAAAATTGTCCCTACATTGTTTTCTTTATACAATTTTCCTATGATCAATTAATTCGGCCGCTTCATGAAACTTTTATACTGATGCTGAAATTTTTTTTGTTATTTAAATAAAAATAAGAAAAGAATATTTTAATAGAATAAAAACAAATTCCAGCGTTCTACAATTTATTATTAAAAAATTATTATTTACAGATTAAATTTTACTACTTTTGAGGAAAAATTTTCGAATTTTTATTAAAGAAATTTTTTTCAAAAATAGTGAAAGCTAATTTAAAAATAGCAATTTCTAATAGAGCAATTTAATTATTAATTTAATTTCATTCTAATAGTAATTTTTATTTTTTTATCAAAACAGATTTAATTTAATTTTCCGTATATCAAAAAAATTTCTCAATGAAAAAGAGAAACATTATTGATTAGTGTAAAACACGAGAAATTGATTCTTATTTTTAAAAAAAGATAAAAATATTCAATGCAGAAAAAGTTATAAAAATTTATTTAATAAAAATTTTCATTCTATTATTTTTAAAGGTTATGAATTGAAAAAAAAATTTCCTAGTTTATATTTATATTTTTTTAATAACTAATTATTTAATTTGTTTCCATATTTAAATTATTTATTGAATCAATGAATTAAAAGAAGCTTTATGTAAAATTCTTTTTTTTTTTAACATAACCACTTTTTAGATTTGTTTTCTTATTACAAAACATTTTTTTTACTTACCAATATAAAAATATTTGTCACCTCACTTTAATCACTAACTTTTTTTCACCATTCATTACCATTTTTTAAAAATTTTAATGTATTTTTAACTTTAATGTAATGGTAAACATTAAACTGTTTAATGTTTACAACGATGACCAACGATGACATCAAAACACACGTCAATTTTTTAGGCATGGGATATAGAAACTCAAGTTTGACAATAAATTATCATTTTTCTGCAGCAACTTCAGGGGGAAGGCATTCGTACGTTCTACTGTACATTCTCTAAAGGTTTTGGATGTGCTCATTCCGATTCCGATGTCAAAAATAAATTTCGTCTAAACCAAAATTAAATATGGCGTTTTTAATGTCAAAAAACACAAAAAAAAATTCATTTTTTCAAGTTTGACATTTTTTTTCACCTCGAAAAAGTTGTGACAGGAAATTATTTTGGTCTGAATGTTACAAAATTTATCCTTGTCGTCTATTAATTAGAAGATCAGGGTGAATTTTATATTGATAATGTCCTGAGTATATTGTCATGGGATTTGGCGCGTGCGTTAAAGGAATACCATGCTCGCGTTAACGATTGACAATATTCCTGGATCGACCGTCGTCTTGATCACATTTGATTTATAAAATTATATTGACGTCTTATTGTAGTTTAAAGTGTGTGTGGAGGTACCTCAGCGAAGGAGAGTTTGGGCGTCGTCTGTATTGTAAGTCTGTCCAATTATTGAATCTCCATAGTCGACAAACGCTTGATTTTATTGGGTTCACCCATTTTACCCCCCTTGAGATTCTCATTATTTAAAGTAAATTTAATTGTCTATTTTATTTACTGTCGACCTTCTGTCGACTGGCGCCCGCGGTTTTATATATTTTGTTAATTATTAATTTTATTTTGAACCCTCACGGCAATTGAACCCGGCTGCGTGAGGTGAAGAATCTTATTTGAACATTTTAATAAATTTGATTTTTGATAACAAAAGATTATGTTTCAAAGTGTAAGAATAAAATTCTATTTTCAACCATCGGTGCATAAAAATTATACACTTTCGAAAAAAGTAAAGAAGAATTTAAAATTTCAAGATGGCGGACCAATATGGCGTCAAATCTAATGTAAAATTGAAAAATTTTGGGCAATATTCTTCATATTGCCGAAAAGTCAATGAATTCGCCTGAATTTTGTTTCTCGGGGGTCTTCGATGTCGCTGATTACGAAAAAGAACTTTATTTTTAAAAGTTCAAAATAGCGGATCCAATATGGCGGACGATTTTTACAAAAATTCATCGAATTCACTTGAAACTTGTCACTCAGGGGATTTTGGGGTCGCTGATTACGAATATGAAATTCATTTTTAAAAATTCAAAATGGCGGATTCAATATGGCGGACTTATTTTTTAAATTGATCAAATTCACTTGAATTTTGTTACTCGGGGGTTTTTGGGATCGCTGATTACGAATACCAACTTCATTTTTAAATATTCGAAATGGCGGATCCAATATGGCGGACGAGTCTTACGAAAATTCATCGAATTCACATGAAACTTGTCACTCGGGGGTTTTTGGGGTCGCTGATTACGAATAATATTAAAATTTTATGAAAAAAGCTATAACTTTTGTTCAGCTTAATGTTTTTCAATCGGATATGGCTAGGATTTTAAGTTAGACTTATACCTGAGAGTCTAGAAAGTTTCCTTTTAATCCGTCAAGTAGTCTTTGTGTTTATCCCGGTCAAAATATTGCGGACAGACATACATACATACATAATTTTTTTTATTGTCATTTTTGGAATTCTTACTACGCGAATAGAAAAACTAAACATGAATTTTCAAATTCTATGCAATGTACAGACAAAAGTCTTATCTTATTTATAAAGAAGATTACAGATAAATTTGTATTTATAACTAAATTATTGTTATATTATTTCAAAATCTATTTTTTATTAATCTAATTTCTTTTGAGTAATCGTTCAACTGGAATGTTCTATATTTTTTAATTTCTTCTATACAATTGAAAAATCTTCGACCATTTAAAAAATTTTCAAAAATGGCTTAAACATAGTTTACAGTATGAAGATTTTATGTTCAAAAAGATGGAATGGTATCTTTTATGACTTAAAAGTTATTAAATTCAAAATTTCAAAATTTTCAAACAAATTAAATAACTTTTGAACCATAAAAGATGACATTCACAGATTTAAAAAATTCAAAATGGCGGATCCAATATGGCGCGCAATATTTTTTCAATTTAATATTCATTCAAAATTTTTTAAATCTAACATCGAATTCGTTGTCCCTAAAAGCTTCCCGAGTAATCATTTTCAGACAAATATACATTAATTTTTATTATCATTGTTCACCATATTGAATCCGCCATTTTGAATTTTTTTAATCTGACATTAAGTTGAGATTCATTGACCTCAAAAATCTCCGAGTAACGCACATTAATTGTAACGCATAAACCTTTAAATCTTCCGCCATATTGAGTCGACATATTAAATCCGCCATTTTCAATTTTTAAATTGACAATAAATTTCAATTTAATACTTGTAAAATTACCCGAATATCTAAATAATTTTAAACAAATTTTTAAATTTAAACTAAACATGAAACAAAATATGTAATTGTGATAAAAAGTATTGACAATATATACATTCATTTCCTTACTGGTCATAATTTGTTATAATTACAGGTCATATTTACGAATGCAAGTCAGGATACTCGTTGCACTAATTAAGAGCAATCATTATTCTCACTAAAATTATGTCACAGAGAAAACAAGAAAAATATTAAATTAAAAAAGTATAAAAAATTTTAATGTTTTTAAAAATTATTGTTCATAAATATTGTTATGACCAGAAAATTTTTCTATACACTTTACACAATTCACATTTATTGTAAATTATATGAAAAATATTATAAAAGTACAGAAGTTAAGACAGTTATTAAAAAATTATTATTGTTGTTATCATTATTATTATTAGTATTATTATTTTCATATTATTATTATTTTTCCTTAAAAACAATAATAATAGCAATAAAATTAGTAAAATAGTAAGAAGTGGAAGTATATGTTGAAGATTGGAAGTGGGGAATGGTGAGTTATTCGCGCGATTGGTTGTTCTTTATCATTCTTTATTCATTCTTAGTCTTTCTTAAACGTTTGAACAAGTAGTTGATAGTTGTGAAAATATTTACAGGAAATGTAAACAAAATTAGAAATAATTAGAATAAAATAAAAGAAAACTTAAATTCAATTAAAATTAAGAACAAAATAAAAAACATTCAACTTTACATTTTTATTTCCAAAAGGTGAATAGTTTTAGTTTCTAAAATTTCATCATATCTTTTAAAAAAAACTAGTTAATCCGGAGTCGATGCAAAAGTGAGAGTGCCTTTAAAAATTTACATCCTTGCGCCATATCAGGGTAAAGTAATAATAGAAAACGTTACTTAAAAATTAATTTAAAAAATTTTCTATTTTGCTTTTTAAACTGTAATGCAATTGCATTATTTTACACATTAAAATACTAGGAATTAAAATTTTTTTAATGTAAAAATTATAAATATTTAGTTTGTTTTATTAATATCTAATTTTAATTTAATTTTCTTTTAATTTGTCTATTTTTCTAAATATAAAATCACTATGCTTAGCAAACGTACTTCTAAAAGAGGTCATTGTTTCATTTTTGAAAGTTAAACAGATACATTTAAATTTGTCCCTGCGTCTATAATGACCATGAAGAATTATCATCAAAGAAGACAATTACAGTCTCACCAACGCAGTATTTTGTAATCATGTCACACTTTATTTTTGCATAGTTGACAAAAGTTTCATAAAAGTGGTAACTTTCTTTAAAAAATATAAAATATTGAAGGATCAAAAATCTTGAATATTTTTTATCTTTGTGAAATAAAGGAATGTAAACAATATTGAAATAGAAAAACAATTAATATAATCAATTATATTTTAATATTTCTGTTATCTTAATCTATTACTCACAATATTCATAATCGTTTTTTGTCTTATCCCTTATCGTCACATATACTGATTTCTTGTCTTTTATCCCTTACAGATATAGTCCATTCTCACGTTTTCAATCTTTCAGTTTTATTCTTTCAATTTTTCAAAATTACTCCAGTGATTGTTTCTTTTTTATATTATTAAATTTTTCTAATTCTGAAAATTTATAAAAAATTGTTATTAAATCAATTATTATTAATTGTAATATTGTCTTCATATCATTGTTTTCCAAATCTCAACCAAGTAAGTAAATAAATATTTCTTCTACAATATCTCTTGCATTAAAAGTAAATGAAATTTTCAAAAATACTGTCTTTAGTTTTGTAGAGTTTTTTCACGCGCATCTTTTGAGCCCTAATTGAACATTTTTCGTTCATACTAACCGGAGATACAGTGAGTTCTCGCGAGTCGTTCAATTCTCGAAAATTTTCAAGATCATAAAACTCACGAGTCGTTCAACGCATAAGCCACGCCTTCAAGGCGATTTCAGGGATGTGTGAAACATATTTATCGCCCCGAAAGACACAATATTCAATGACTTTGGTCCGTTTAAATTACACAGCACTGAGCACCGGCGCGCGCTTGCTAGAAATTGAACGACTCGTGAATCGGACACTGATCAGCTGTTGAACGACTGGCGAGTTTGAACGACTCGTGAGTTGAACGACTCGCGAGAACTCACTGTATTAAACTTTTAAAAATAAAAAATTTTGGAAAATAAGACTTTTTTAAAAATTTTGTTAAAAAATGTATAAGTTTAGTTTTGTTTTGTATTTAGTTTTGTAGAGTTTTTTCAGACGCATCTTTTGAGCCCCAATTAAACATTTTTCGTCCATATTAACCGGAGATATTAAACTTTTAAAAATCTAAAATTTTGAAAAATAAGACTTTTATAAAAATTTTTTTAAATTATGTAAAAGTAACTTCAAAAAATTATTACCAACTTGAAGAGCATTAAAAAACGCTTCGATTGACCTATTTTTGAACCTGATTCGGGCAGAAATTATGAAATTATTGGTATTTGAAAAATCAAAAATTGTGGAAAATATCATTTTTTCAACATTCTTGTTTATTAACTTATGTGTAATTATTAAACTATTATTACCATCTTATAGAATATATAAAAACACATTTTTTGGACCAAGATTTAATTATTTTTAACCCTTTTATAAAAAGTAATTCTTATATTTCAGTTACTATTATTTCTATGAGGAAGCAAAGTGTTCATGAAATGAACACCAAAATTATAAAAATGTACAACTTGGCAGCGGTTTTTCAAAAGTGTACACGGAGAAAAATGAGTTTGCTATTATATGGATAGCGAATTTTTAGCTATTACAGCTAATAATTAGCTGTTTTAGCAAAAAAAGTTAGCTAATTTAGCTAATTATTAGCTGCATTAGCTAACAATAATTGCTATCCATATAATAGCAATTAAGGTTAGCTAAGGTAGCTAAAAATTAGCTGAAATAGCTAACTATTTTTCTCCGTGTAGTTAATTGATAAAACAAGTGAACGGAAACGACGAATTCGCAATTAATATTCTTTGAAAAATTTCGAGAGCAGGGGAAGTTATTTTTATAGAATTTTAAAAAAATACTTAATATATGTGAATTATTTTGGTCTAGAATTAAAGAATGGAATTTATACTTGATATTGTGCAACTATCAAATCTTAAAAAAAAATTTT